TTTGCTTCACAAAAGTTATCTCAACCTGGGAGCACAGCAGTTTCGGCATCGCCTTGATCCTATCAACACCTTTAGCTGGATTCAATACTAGCTCAAGATTATCGCAAATGAATAAAGTTGTCAATTGACTTGGCAAATGCTTATTTGAATAACAAAATTCCCACTGGGCGTGCGATTCGGCTGGCCTTGAATATCTCATCTGCCCTGTGACCCACTGACATAATCGTCACCACGATGCGCATGATTTGATATGTAATGTCGTTGCCGATGTTGATGATACCCAGGTGAGATAAAACCTGTTGTCAAGTCCAGGCTGTTAAGTCAAATGAAATCATGAGACCTCTAACTTATCGTGGTAAACTCAAATTATGCGACAAAAGGAAACGAAGTTGTTATCTAAGTTTTATAATGTTTTCATAAATAGCATGGTATAATTTCACATATTGTTGTGATTTTTCATTGTGGGAAGACTCTGGTATCAGCCCTTAAGTCTCGCTTATATGCAAGAACTACTGATGGTCTGGTCGTGTTTTCATCCGAATTTGAGGAAGAAGTATAATGGACTGCGGTAACCTGAACGTCATGCTACAATCGAACGACTGCAGAAAAACTGGAGAGATCGACGTTGGAATCGTTTTCTCAGGAAATTTGACGCAAAATTACAATGCCCAACAAGGAAATACGCTGATACCAAATTGCACTTCGCATATGTAAATTTAAGAGCAACATGTCTGAGCAGAAGATACGTAAAAGCACTGGCCCATTTTGGCTGTTATTGGCCTTCCTGTTGCTTCGAATCCTGTCTGCCCTCTCCTAGCCCGGTTGACCTGTCCATTCCTCATGGTGACAGTTGTTGTTTGCGAATTTGTGTACAGCCAGAACCCATCACGCATGCGTTTGTTTGCCGCAAAATCGCCTCCAGCCGACCTGGACAATAGTGCAGTTGCCTGACACGTCCTCTTAACATGTCGCCCAAGCGGGTTGTTGAGCTGGCGGGAGGCTGTGAAGACGCCCTCCAGCACAAATACCAGCTGGACTGAAGGCGGAGCTGGGGAGTTGTGGAGACTGGATGCAAAATGCATTTAATGAATTCAAAGTGGCCTTTTGTTGGCCCCAACCCGGCGGCCTGCAGGCCTGTTGAGAGGGTGACCGTTCTGGTTGGCTTTCAGGCCGGCCGCCTTATTTGATCGGATGTTGTC